AAAGTTGTCACAGACACAGTAAAGAGTGTACATGTGAAGATTTAGTTAGTAAATAAAAGAAATTTGGAAAATTATGCAAAGTCATATTTCACTTTGTGGATTTGCTTAATTCCTATGTATTTAATTTTTAAAGCTACTTTAATGGAATTGTTTCCTGAATTGTTTCCTCATGAATTCATATTTGGTATACAGGAATATCATTTATTTTCATATATTGAAATTATATCTTTTCACTTCACTGAATTTGTTTATTGCTGCTAAGAATCTTCTGGTGGAGATTTTTGGATCTTTTTTGTAAAAGAACATGTTACTTGCAAATAAGAATAGTTTGAATTCTTTCTTTCTTGTACTTATACTTTTTATTTCTTCTTGTCTTATTTCTCTAGCTAAATTTTCCAGCACTATATTGAGCTATAGTGTTGATGGTCAACATTCTTGCCTTGTTCATGATTTTAGAGAAAATTACTTCAGTGATTTCCCATTAGTGTGATGGCCATGGATTTGTCATAAATGGTTTTTATCAGTGTGAGATAAGGTCCTTCTATAATTGTTTTTATTTGTTTTTTATACTTAATGTATATTAGATGCTTTCAAAGGGTTTTATGTGTCTATTGAGATCACATGATTTTTGTCTTTGCATTGGTTATGCAATATATTACTTTTATTGACTTTCATCTGTTGAACCATTCTTCCATGCCTGGTATGAAGCCGTCTTTCTCATGATGTAAGAACTTTCCAATGAAAGCTCTAGAGTTTGATTGTCCTTATTTTTCTAGAACTTTAAGATGCATCACTAGGTGATGCATTTATTTGAGCTCATTTTATTTTCTGATGTTTGTGATCACTGCTATAAACTTCCCTCATAGGATTGCTTTCATTTTGTCTCATAAATTCTGGTGTATTATATTGGCACTATCATTTAATTCTAAGAACTATCTTATTCCTTCCTTAATTTCTTCTGTGACCCATTGATTATTCAAGAGTGTGTTGTTTGATTTCCATATGTTGGAATAGTTCCTGTGAGGAATTTTTATTATTGATTTCCAGTTTCATTGCACTGTTATCTGATAAAATGCATGGTAAAATTTTGATTCTTTTGCATTTACTTAGGCATGCTTTATTAGCTAGTATGTAGTCTGTTTTGGAGAAAATACCACGTGTAGCTGAAAAGAATATGTATTCTGTTGTTGTTGGGTGGAATACTCTGTATATATCTATTCCAGCTGATCCAGATCTGACTTCTAAGTGTTT